GTTTGTAATTAAAGACTTGTGGTCATAAAAATTATATTGTTTCAAAATCCCAATGATGGAGGATGAATACTGGAGCATCTTTATTTTGAATCACCTGGGGTGGCCAATCAGGTTCCAGGGGGAGCAAGCCCCACGTGACCACCCCTGTGGCTCCATCCCTGCTTCTTGGCAAGAGAAACCTCCATATTGTTGTTTTTATTTAAAGCAGGTGAGTTCAAGGTGTCTGCAGGTCATGTGTGGCCCTCTGAGAGGTTTTGTCATCTTTATGGTATTACTGGTCTGCAGGCTTCAGACATTGATGCAAAACAACACACGCTCTTCAGCTTTAATTTAGTAACTTTAATATTTTTATTCCAATTTAGGTATACAGGAACCATAATGCTTTACTGACCCCACCCCCCATAATTACACTTTATTTCGTGTAATATCTCAAAAGATGGATAAGAGGTCTCGGGGACACAGCAGGGTGCTTGAACAATGTAAAATAACTAAAAATAGTATTTAAACTCCCAACAAATTAACAAACGTGTTACTTAAAACATGTTTTGTATTAGCCAAACTTTATTTTTTAAATGTCTGCTCAGTCAGTTCACACCCCGAGGAATCCAAAAGTTTTTCAGATATTGAGTTCTTTTTAAACCTGATGACAAAAATGATCTCAGAAGATGAAATAAGTCCCAACATGTCTGAACTCCTCTTCACAGACTAAAACTTGTGCTTGTTGTGTCATGTTGAAATGTAAAATGTCCTTCAACTGTTTCTGGTAGTTTGGAGCTGATTGTTTCATAAGTTGAGCAGGATTCAGTTTCTGCAGTGAGGAGGGACAGGATCACAGAGTCCTGATGATGGGACTGTCCTGAAATCCCCGACATTTCCACACAGCAGCTTGAATTGTGGAGAATTTGTACATCCGGGAATTTACCACTTCAGTCATCTGCCTTCATGAACTGCTCATATTTGGTGGTGGTGGTGGGGGGGGGGGGGGGGTGCGGGGCCCGGGGCCCCTCCCTCATAGGGGTACTTTATGTTCCGCAGCACCTCAGTCTCTGCTGCGGTCCCGACATCCGCGCCTCGAGAGCAGAGGATCAAAGACATGTAGCCGCGATGGAGCCGGGACACGCGCACGCGCCCGTCCTGCAGGGCCTGTGGGAGTGCGTGAGAGCTGCACAGGAGGAGGTCCTGCTGGCCCCGCACCTGGCCGCGTCCTGCGCCTTCCTGACGCACGTGCTGCTCTGCGCACCCTTCCTCGCGCTGGACGCGCTGGGCAGCGTGTGCGCTCGCGTGCGCTCGTGGAGGATAGCCGCGGGTTCGGGCCCGCCGCCGCCTCTCAGCCGGTGGTTCGAGTGCTTCTGCCGGGTCCTGTTCAGGTACATAACTGTGGTGGCCCCCGCCGCGGCGCTGCTGCAGCTGCTGAGGAGCCCCCAGGTCCCCGAGCTGGCCCCCTCCTGCTGGCAGCTCTGCGTGGAGGTCGTGGCGTGTTTTCTCCTCTTTGACACCTTGTTCTTTCTGTGGCATTACGTCATGCACAGGTGAGCATCCTGCGCTGCTCCTGGATCAGTTTCTTATCAGAGCTGTTTGTTTGTTTTCTCCCTGAGCATCTGCTGACTCCAGATGTTTCCAATATCTCAACACAGCACATCTGTAAACACTTCAGGGATTATCTAACTTGATACAAAACAGATTTAGACACTTTATATGAAGCTAAACACAGTTTCCATTTTCAAATGTGTTTTTTTTTACCTGCAATCCAGAAATATTGTTTCATAGACTCAAGTTTATTTAACTCATCGGACACACACATTAATTAATTAATTAATTAATTAATTTCATTTTTTTAGTGTTTTCAATGACCAAACATTCCTAACAAAGCCTAAAAAAAATCCTTAAATTTTTTTTATTTTTTTTAATTTTATTCTGATTCATGGCCAATAATCCAGGTAAAAAAAAATCCAACAAGGTTAAGTCAGGTCCTCTGGATGGATTATTTTAGTTAATTTTCTCCTGTTGAACACAGACAAGACTGAGGTTTTGGTTTTTGGACCTGAGCACCTTAGGAATTAATTTTTCAGTCTTTCTCCCTCCTTAGATGCATTAATCTGTCCTCCAGCTCTAATGTTAAAAATCTTGGTGTTATTTTTGATCAGGACATGTCTTTTATCCCCCACATTAAAAACATTACTAGAACCACCTTCTTCCACCTGTGTAATATCACTAAAATTAGAAACATCTAAAAATGATGCTGAAAAACTGGTTCATGCATTTGTCACATCTAGACTGGACTATTGCAATGATTTATTATCTGGATGTCCAAATACTTCTTTAAAACATCTTAAGTTGATCCAAAATGCTGCTGCCTGAGTCTTAACTGGAGTTAGTGGGAGAGATCATATTTCTCCAGTTTTAGTTTCTCTCCATTGGCTCCTTGTCAAATCCAGAATAGAATTCAAAATCTTACTTCTAACCTACAAAGCCCTCAACAACCTAGCTCCATCCTATCTTACAGATTTTATTGTTCCATATTTTCCTAACAGAGCACTTTGCTCTCAGACTGCAGGTTTACTTGTGGTTCCTAGAATTTACAAAAACAGAATGGGAGGCAGATCTTTCAGTTATCAGGCTCCTCTCTTGTGGAACCAACTTCCAGTCTCTGTCCGTGAGGCTGACACATGATCCAGTTTTAAGACTAAACTTAAGACTTTCCTTTTTGATAAATCCTATAGTTAGGGTCGACTTGGGTTTCCTGAGCTGTCCCTTAGTTATGCTGCTATAGACTTAGACTGCTGGAGGACAAACTGACCACAATTTTCACTTTGCTACTGTCTTTACTTACTCTGCTCAACCTGTTTTGTATTTGTAATTATTTTTTCTGTCCTTAACATGTGTTCTTTGTCTTTCACGTTCACCTGGACCTACCACTCTGTGTTCGTCTGTCTCTCCTTCCTGTCCTCTCAACCAGCCGGTCAAAGCAGATGGCCGCTTGTCCTGAGCCTGGTTCTGCTGGAGGTTTCTTCCTGTTAAAAGAGAGTTTTTTCTTTCCACTGTTGCCACTGTGCTTGCTCAGGATGGGAGACTGCAACGAAGCCAAGATTCAACTTGTCTGCTGGATTCCTTAGATAGAGAACTTTACTAATTGGCTTTTCTATGTATGTGGATGTTCCTGTAAAGTGCCCTGAGACAACTTTGTTGTGAATGGGTGCTATATAAATAAACTGAATTGAATTTGTTGAAACGTTTTGTTTTTCATCCAAAAGATTTCATCAGTCAGAGAAGCCACAACAAACTCAGTCTTATAAATGCACCTTCTCAACCAGTTTGATGATGCTCAGGTGGTTTCTGGAGTCCACCCTCTCCCCTGCCGATTCGTCTGAGGCAGCCACGGCCAAAGTTGTTCAAAATGTCCTGATTCATGCTCAATAATTCAGGTAGAAAAATCCAACACATGTGACCACAGGTGCTATTTATGAGACTGGGCTTGTTGTGGTTCCTCAGACTGATGAAGTCCTTTGGATCAAAAAACGAAACGTTTCAACAAAAAGAAACCATCCAGAGGACCTGACTTAACTTTGTAGGTTTTTTTTTTTCTTTACTTTGTCCAAATGTTTGTTTAATGCTTCGAAAACCTCTCAGAAACTGTATTACCTTCTAGCCTTTCTTAGGTGAATAATTTACCAATTTCAATGAGTAAGAAATGAATTTCTGATCCAGTTGTCATATCAAAAAAGATGTTGCAGCGAGAACATTTTTTCTAAACCTAGGCATTCAAGAGTTGCAGAAGTTAGAATGTGCTGAAGAAATCCTGAGTGTGTTTGTGTTCCCCGTCAGGGTTCCGTGGTTGTACCGCAGCGTGCACCACCTGCACCACCAGCACCACGTCCCCTTCGCCCTGGCAGCTCAGGACGCCAGCTCGGCTGAGCTGCTGTCTCTGCTGCTGCTGGCTCTGAGCAGCGTGTGGCTGCTGGGCTGCCACCCCCTCAGTGAAGCCCTCTTCCACCTCCTCAACTGCTGGCTGGCCGTGGAGGACCACTGTGGCTACAACCTGCCCTGGGCGCTGCACAGACTGCTCCCCTGCATGGGTGGAGCCCCCCACCACCAAGCTCATCACAGTCAGCAAAGTGCCAACTACGCCCCCTACTTCACTCACTGGGACCTCTTGTTTGGCACATACCGAGCATAAACTTCAGATGGAAAAGATCTGTGTGCAGTAAACAAAGCAGAGCAATAATGTGAAATGAGACAAACCCCCCCCCCCCACCCCCCCATGCCTCCAGCATGCTATTAACTTCACTTCTAGCAGAGACGCATGAGGAGCTGAGATTATGTTGAACTTTGTTGCAGAAAATGTCAATTTATTCCTTTTACTTTACAAAAACTTTATGGATACATTTATTTTTTAAACATAAAGTCAAAAAGAGTTTGTGCAAAAATCAAAGCATTTGCTGTGAAGCCTCTTCAGAGAATTGTACATATGTGAAGTGGCGTTCTCTTTAAGGCGCGTTTGTTTTAGAGATAATTATTGTCTGCTCCAGGAAAGCAGGTGAAAATGTTCATGTTGTGATTTTTAACAAAGTATCTCACAAACCAGTGAATGGATTTGAATAAAACGTGTTGGATGTTCGTCTAGAGCTGATTAAAAACAGGTCTCTCTTGTAAAAGAGTCCTCGAGGCTCAGTGAGACTAACCTGAATAAATAAAGGTTGAATGAATTAACTTTTACAGTCAACTCAATTCAAAATGGCCACCACAGCCAAGTGACCTTAGCAATCACAAAATTATGACTTTTACTTCCAATGAGCTAAAACCTGGTGTAGTTTAAATCGTCCTCAGAGGCTCGAGATCCTGCAAAACGTTCTTCTTGAAGAAGCGTCTGTTCCTCGTCTTACGGTGAAATTAGTTTAAACTGTGGCATGAAAGAGGATTTGTGTGTGTGGGAGGAAACTAAAGCGAAACAGACTGGGTTCAATATAGAGTTCTGGTTCTGTGTCATTTCTGCAGCCCCCCCCCCCCCCCCCCCCCCCCGGGGGCCTCTCAACTGTCTGATTTATGGAACAACCAGCTCTGTGGGGGACTGGAGTGCACAATGAAAACCACATGTTGGAAATGACTTGTAGCTGTTCATGAGCACTAAACCTGCGACTGCATCAGTCTGAGGGTTTATCTGTTGCAGCAGAATTCAGCTGCCAGCTAATCTGTTGCTCTGCATTAAAGAGCGACGGCAAACAGCTTAAAGCTGCTCAACTCCCTGCACGTCATTACAGCTCAAGTCAAGCCACGGGGCAAAGCAGCGCTAAGAAAGCAGAACAAACTTTTGGCCAATTAGGCTGAAAAGCAGAAATGAAGTGGAAATTATCTGAAAAAAGTTTAAATTAAAAACAGCTGAAAAGTAGCTAAAAAAAAATTAGAAATAAGCTTCAATTGTCAGAAGGAAGTGGAGAGAGCTGAATTAGGCTGAGAAAAGCTGAAATGTGTTCAAAAATGTGGAATTAGCTGAAAATGCTAAAATTAGCATAAAACAGCTAAATAGAAGCTGAAAAAGCTTAAACTAGCATAAATAAGCTGAAAGGAGCTGAAATTAGCAGAAAAAAGTTAATTGGGCTGAAAATAGCAGAAATTACCATTAAAAATTTTGAATTTATCTAAAAACAGCTGAAATTAACAAGAAAATGCTGAAAATGTAGAGCAAGCTTAAATTAGCAGAAGAAGGCAGAAAGAACACATTTGCTCAGTTAGGCTGAAAAAAGCAGAAATGAACACGCACAAAAAATGGAAATATCTGAAAAAAGCCTAAATTAACAACAACAAAAAAACAGCTGAAAAGTAGCTAAAAAACACCAAAAGAAGCTTAAGTTCATTCATTCGTTCAACCTTTATTTAAACAGATAAATCACATTGAGCCTTGAAGACTCATTTACGTTACATTTAAGTTACCAGAAGGAAGTAGAGACGGCACATTTAATCTGAATTAGGCTGAGAAAAGTTTAAAGGGCAGCACGGTGGCACAACTGGTAGAGCTGCTGCCTCTCAGCAAGCAGGTTGCCCCGGTTCAATTCCCTGTCCCGGGGGCCTTTCTGTGTGGAGTTTGCATGTTCTCTCAGAGCATGCATGGGTTTTCTCCAGGTACTCCGGTTTCTTCCCACAGACCAAAAACATGCATGTTAGTAATTTGAATTGTCCCTAGGTGTGAGTGAGAGAGTGAATGGTTGTTTGTCTCCTGTGATGGACTGGAGACCTGTCCAGGGTGTCCCCCGCCTCTCACACTGTGACTGCTGGACACGGGCACCAGCGTCTCCCAGACCTAACAAGAAAAACAAAGAAGCATTTAAAGAAAATGGATGGAGTGCAGAAAAAGTGTAATTAGCTGCAAAAGCTAAAATTAGCATAAAAACGGCTAAATAGTAGCTGAAATAGATGGAAAAATGTGAAACTGAGCTGAAAGGAGCATAACAAGCTGAATTAGCAGAAAAAAGTTAGAAGTACAAAAATGTTGTAGCAGAAAGAAAGCAGAACAAAACAGCTGAAAGTAGCTGAAAAAAGTTTGAATTTGCACAAGGAAGCTGAAGCAGAACAAAATGTGACAGGAGCAGTAAAAGGTTGTAAACACATCTAAAGATTTGAAGGATGTAAAATGAGCTCAATTTCTATGAGGAAAAAAGTGGCAGAAAAGGCTAAACATTTCAACAAGCTAAAGCTGCAGCAATACTAAAAGTCACAGCACTGTTTTCCTGAAGGAGCTGAATGTTTCGATACCTCAGCCTCCCTGCACTTCACTACATTTCTTGAGCGTCGTGCTGTTTAACAGTGAAGTCCCTGGATTATCATGTGAACAGGGCTGGGGTCCTGCAAATGTTTATAGATGAGAGCGACACCCCCCGAGATCCATCAACGGTTAAAGAACAACGTAGCCCCACAAACACAGCAGAACGTTAACAAGACAAGGAATGAGAACAGAAGAGACGTTGAGGCTCGTGGAAAAAGACCAAGAATCCAGATTGAAAACATCTGGAGCGAGGCTCTGCAGGGGGGAGTGAAGCGGGAAGTGGACGGATCATGTTTGCAGAACAAAAAGGTCTGAGGCAGAAAACACAACAAGACGGGGAGCTGAGAACAGGAAGCGTGAAGAAAGTGGAGACAGATGAGACAACTTGGAGGTCAAGGTGCTTTAAAGACTGTTTTGAAGTGGTTTGATGTGTAAAATGTAAATAATTAATGTCTTACCTGTCGTAGATAGCCCTTTGAATGGACTCAATTTGGAGGAATGAGTTTGATTCTGACAAGGCTAATGAAGAAATCCAAACTCAGCTAAAGACAAACATTACTTATTTACCAGAGATGAGCATTTTAAAAACACTGCTGCTTTGGGCAGCACGATAGCATAGTGGTTAGTACTGTTGCCTCACAGCAAGAAGGTGCTGAGTTCAGTTCCCAGGGTGGGCGTGAGACAAAATTGCATGAAAGAGTCTGATTCTTGTTTTTTTTTTTTTTTTTTATTATTATTTGCAGTTTTTAACATTTCTGTAAGTTTTACAATGTTTACATAAAAAGGGAACAGTGTCTGAAGTGTCCGTGTTTACACCGACCGTCCTGAAGCTGCTTCTGTCCAGAGAAGACCCAAAGCTGATCTGAGTGGGTCTGGAACATGGATCCTTGAGATCTTTGTCCTGAAAACTGCCACAAGGTCCCATATATTTTTAGACACATTACTTCACAGATTTGATTTTGAACGTCACCGTCTGTGGAATGGTCAAAAGATTTATTTAAATTACGGTGCAAACCAATAATGACCAAAAACCTAATTATCTAGAAACCTTATGTGCCATGTGGTATGCATATAGATGTGGACCATTTATGGCCCGAGGGCCAAATGTGGCCCTTGGACATTCTATAAATGGCCCCCAATATTCTGAATGGAAAACACCTTTTAAATAAACTATTTTGTTTGTTTGTTTGTTATTTTAATCAGTGAAACTTTAATCTAAAGTTAACAGCTTGGACAAATACATTAAAAACATTTAGATTAAGATGAGCTAAAACTTATCTATTATGTTACTTGTTTTTTTCCACAGCTATGAACCTTAAACTCTAAAACAAAAATATACTGTATATCTTTTTTGTGTGTGTGATTTTTGTTGTTTTGCATATTTAGGTTAACAGACATTTTGTCGTGGGGGCCAGTTTACATAAAGTATGTCATATATTCCATACATACTTTTTCATCAAGCATGCTTACTATGTTACAGCAAGAAACAACCAGAACAAAGTATCTTAAACAAAATCTATTTCCCAGTTCTCTAAGCGGACCTTGGAAAGTTTTGAGATAAATGTTGCCGACCTCTGGCCTAGACCTACAAGTTGGACCTGATCAAATCCAAACAGAACTGGCCTCACATGGTTCACAGGGTAATCCCATTCATCAGTGTTTTATAAAGTGGGGGCCGCCAGGGGGCGCTAGGGGGCTCAGAAAGCAGTAGAGAAAAAGATTTTAAAAAAAGCTAAATTAATTTTTTTAATTAACATTTTAAACATTTTAAAGTAATGTAATAAAATCGACTATTTTCAATTATTATTTTAAATTATATTTTATGATATTGAACTATTTTTCACCATGCTCATCTTTCTGAGTGGCTTCAGTCAAATGTATCAAGCTGCTTTAATCTTCAAGCAGAGCAAGAATTAAATTAAGAAAATTCTAAAAAGACTGAAGGAACCGACCAGCAGCTCTGCTGTGGAGGAACCTGCTGCAAAAATAAAAAATAAAAATATAATAATAACTTGTGGCTAGCTAAAATTCAAAGGTATGAGGAAGCAGACATTAAGTACGGCTTCATGCAGGAAAATGGTCATGATTGCCTAAAATGTGTCGTCTGTCTGAAGTCCTGCGCAAACAAGTGTTTAAAACCTTCGAAACTTCAGCTCCACTTGAGTGGGAATATAATCCAGTGTTTAAAACATATTAGTCAAATATAATCCAGTGTTTAAAACGTTAGTCAAATATAATCCAGTGTTTAAAACATGTTAGTCAAATATAATCCAGTGTTTAAAACATGTTAGTCAAATATAATCCAGTGTTTAAAACATGTTAGTCAAATATAATCCAGTGTTTAAAACATGTTAGTCAATAACATTTAATGCTCAGCAGCTGTAATAAATGAATCGAGTGAATAAAAGTTAAAACGTTTTAAAAGCAGATGTCTCTTTACATATTTTGTAGCATTGTTTGTGGGTTTGCGACGGGGGGGCTCAGCCAGGAGCTAATGCTGTTTGGGGGGGCCATGGCATGGAAAAGTTTGGGAACCCCTGCAACCAGTAAATAATTATTTATAAAAAAATTATGCAAGAGTTCAGGTTGTTACCATTTGAAACTGACAAACACATTATTCATGTGAATATAACTTGATTTATATATTTCTTCAGTTTGTACGTAAGTTCTGTACATTTGTCCGGCTGCTGAGTGAAGAGCAGTAATTCTGACGACAAACACCGGCCTGATGGTTCTTCATGAGGGTCTGAACAGAAGATAACTAGTCCTCAACTGGTAAAATAAATCATCTCCCATCCCTATCATCCAGCCATCCATCCATCCATCCATCCATCCATCCAGTAATTGTGTGAGGCGGGGGACACCCTGGACAGGTCTCCAGTCCATCACAGGGACACATAGAGACAAACAACCATTCACTCTCTCACTCACACCTAGAGACAATTTAGAGTTACCAGTCAGCCTAACATGCATGTTTTTGGTCTGTGGGAGGAAACTGGAGAAAACCATGCGTGCACGGAGAGAACGTGCAAACTCCACCCAGAAAGGCCCTGACCGAGCTTGCATCCGGCGACCTACACGCTGATCCACCGTGTCATCACATCCCTATGTTTGACATAAAAAGCTGTGGTGTTCTATGAGGACTTCAGGTGCAGGGTCCCGTCCTGCAGGAGTTTTTCTCTAAAACAACCGACTGCAGAACCACAGTGTTGAAGACGAGTTGTTTAGTCAGGAGCCTCATTCACAACAGCCGTCTTTAGCTCATCTTCATCCAAAGCACAACCTTTACACAGAAACTAATTTGACGTTGGCCTGATTACTCCTTTAAGACTTTATTTCCTTCTCTTGCAGAACTTTAGCAACAATTGCATTAGTCTTTCTTCACAAATAGTCTAATGAGAAATATTTTCATAGTTTGTCTTGAGAGTCGAGCACGTTAATAATAAAAAAAGAAGCTTGTTGCTTGTTTTGACTTTTCTTTTGAGTTAAACTGCAGTGCCTGGACTAAACCGAGCACCTGCTGTCCCTTCACATCCACCTTTTAAACCTTCCCACTGCAGGTAGAAGTGTCTGAACGTTCAGAGGGGACTTTGAACGTGAACGTGAAGCAGCAACGGCACAAACTGTTCTTGTTCCTGGTGAGGGAAGATTCTGGAGGACAGAGGGAGAGACGACGAGCGCTGGGTGGTGGAGTTGCCTAAAGATGGTATGATAAACAACGTGACCCAAAGCGGAAACAATCAGAAGCCATTACAGACCTCACGTCAGAGTTAGGGCGAGCCATGCAGCTTTGGGTGACACACACACTGCAACACACACGTTCTCTGCGTCGTGATGTCAGGCACTGGAGAATTACAGGATTCTGAGGCTCTTTAGAGCGTCTGCGCCCTCTGAGTTCTGTTTACTCGCTTGGTGCACTCTGAAATTTATCACGTAGGCCGACTCCTTCACGTCGAGGTTTGGGAGCAGCCGGGCACTCTCTTCTTAACAAATGAGGACATTTCAAACCAAAAAAGTGTGAAAAAGCACAGATCCCTCTCCGGCCGTCCTTATCAGCAGAGCTCACGCTGAAGAACGTGCCCTGAATGTTTGCCATCCAGACACCAGGTTCATATTTCTTCTTATGTTCATGTAAATATTCAATTAGCGAGCCTAAAACAGCCGAGGCCGCCTCTCGTTGCATCAAACGGGGTTCTTGCCCTCTTCTTTGTGGCTGTTTTTAAACGACCTTTGCTTCGTTTCACACGAGAGGTCACCCGGGGCCTGGACTGTTTGGGATCTGAAACATCTTGAAGCACTTGTTATTAGTGGGTTGATGCCAAATCTGGGTTTCTAAGAGGCCCCTGTTGCCATGTGTAAACACGTGACGCTAAAGGACTGCAAGAAAAAAATGAACTGGTTTTTATGTGAATGAACTATATTTAGCAGAGACAGTCAGATAAAAATATTACATAAATTGTTGTGAAACTTCAGCTTCACAAGCGATGAAGGATTGTTTAGATGGAGACTTGGTGGTGGGGGAAGTGTTACACCCTATTAAATCACAAACACACCGAAGTGCCGGTCACAGTCGGATCTTTACAACATTGTGGCCTTTAAAGGGCGATTCCAAACAAATCGTAACAATTTCTGTTTTGACGGATTATTATTGCCACACAGTTTCATCTTTGGAGCATCCAACTCTGTTAAACAGAGGGCCCAAATTAAAAAAACACTCAAAACACTAAAACAGTAACAATAGTTCAAATTATTCATGCAGAATAATAAATTGCCCAACCTTTCAGGTATACAGCAGGTCTATTCAACCAAATCAGGCCCTCTGGTGAGCTCAGTTTGGTCCACCAATGGGTTCATTTTAAAAAATGCAAGACTTTAAACTGTAAAATAAACTCTTTTAATGACAGTTTCTGGATGTCCGGCCCCTGAGCTCTTGGATTTCAGTAACTGTGGCCTCCGGAGCCATTTTGTTGAATAGCCCTGATACATAGAGTTTAGAACAAGCTTGAATAAAGATCACATTGAAATCTTCACTCTGAAGTGCTCATGTCTCAACCTTGGTCTCTGGCAGCAGAACATTTCTTTCTAATAAAACATTTTATCACAATCTGTCAGTTCAGCTGAATAACAATCTGCAGATTATAATTTACAGATAATAACCTTTGATTTTGCCCTGTCATGGACTGGACACCAGTCCAGGGTGTCCCCCGACTCTCGCACAGTGACTGCTGGACGTGAGCACCAATGACCCCCGCAACCCGAAAAGGAAGAGGCGGGTAAAGATGATGGATGGATTTTAAAGAAGAGAAGAATTCAGCGAATGTAACATTTTAAAATATGTGATAGCAGACTCTGTTTGATGCATGTTAGCTGAAGTCAGAGCCGCTGGCTGGAGTTTTGTGAGACTGTCAGCAAAAGTTTGGATGTTCTTGTTTTCCATGTTGAAAATCTAACAAAATACTGATGAAAGAAGAGTTAAAGTTGATTTTCTTGGCTTCATTGTTGGTTATTTGTTAGGAGAAGTCGATTTATTTAATCAAAATGTGAGGCAACAGACTCGGTTTGTCTTTACTAATTGGCTTTTATGTCTGTGAATGTTCCTGTAAAGTGCCCTGAGACAACTTTGTTGTGATTTGGTGCTATATAAATAAACTGAATTGAATTAGTGAGTCAGGTTTAAGACATTCAAACTTTTATCTGGTGTTCTGGATCAAACTGTTACGAAAGCCATAAATCTTGAGCTGGACATGTATTTTACAACCTTCTGTTTATTTCATTTACCTGATTGTCCATCAGGTCACAAATCATCCCACGTTCTCTTCACAAACAGTTTTTTCCTCCACGTTTGCTTGCAGACGGCTCGATGTCAGTGCATGCAACAGGCCGTTCATTTTGTTCATTAACGGGACTTTTTTCCATTTTCCCATGGTGCTCTGTTTGTGTGTTGAGTGTGAACTCTGACCTTTGAGCTGATAGTGATGGTATGAATGATCTGAATGTCAGCGTGTCTGTTCCTACAGCTTCTTCCAAAAATAATGGCAAAGAAATCCTTCAATTAAAAACGAATGGTGATGCAACGTCATGCACTGTTAGCGGTGAGATTCAGTGTTAAACACGCGGGTTTCAGGTTCTGCATTGAGGGTACTTTTTTTAAACATACCACCTTCAGAAACAGCAAGGAACAGTAATATTTTAAATACTTCAAAAAAAAACTTACAACATTTCTTCCCAACAAAATTTATTTTGCGCTGCAGATGCATTGTCACGGGTACAAAACTTGCTCTACACTAACTTACAAATGTACATATAGTCATTTCTGTTTAGAAATTAATAAATTAGAACAATAAATAGTATTTTATTTGACACAAGCAGCAGACGTATCAAACAGCCTGTAACAAAAGGAAGTACTTCATCTGGGTAACATGGCCCCTTTGACACGTTAAAGTCGATATTTTCAGAAAGAGCCATCTTTCCACGGAAGTGATGGACGACTTGTTTGGAGATGGCATGGTCAGTTATACTAAAAGGTTGCCTAAGAATGTGGACAATCCCGTGTCCCGCTACATCGGAAGTGTCCAGAATGGCTTCAAGTCCTCTAAGCAGGAGTGGTAGTGAACATGTTTATTGACCCTGGACACCTTGCTATCTCTGTGACTCGGGGAGAGTGGAAAGAAGGCATGTGAAGAGGGAAACAGGATTGAGATAAATAACCCTGCCACCGGAACCGCTTACACAGTGCTCGCATGCCAGGGGAGCTGCAGAAGGCCAGAGGTGGGTCTGTGCAGTCCGTGGCTTGTCAGGTTGCCTCAGGCAGGTCATTTGACTGCACCGAGGCACATGAAGTGCTGATTAGTAGTGCGCTTTGAGTGGGGAGGCCAGAGATAAGTGGAGAGGAAGACAGATGTCAGGGGGAAAGGAGAGGGAGGAGTACAGCTGACCCACTAGTTCCCACCAGATTGTAGGATAGACTCTGTTTTTTGAAAAAACTTGTTTTTAATGTCTTGTAAGAATGAAGGCATAACTTTTTCGGTGACACCCTTCTGTTGCACAGCTCTACTTTCACTGTCTGACAAACGGTGACTGATCGTCATGTTTTTACCAGTTTTTTGTTCAAATGCATGTATATTTGTTCACTTGGATTGCACATTAGGTTCATCAACAACGAATAAACACTTCCGGTCCAACATGCATTTATTTCTTTCCTCAAAGACTGTCTTGACTCATCTTCATGTAGCTTATTGTTTATTTTGCATCTTTCCTGTTGTGGTAAGACTTTACAAAGTGTTGAGCTGCCTGAATCGGTGGACTATCTGCAGCCACACTCAGCCACCACCATGCCTTCATACTTGTACTTGTAGGTGACCACACCTGCGTCGTCCAGGTAGAGCAGGGAGATGGGGTCTAGCTTGGTTGGCACACAACATGCCCGAGCTGCCTTCTGAGGACTGTTGATGTTGACCAACGTCTGGACAATGGCGTGCTTCGTCGGCGTGACGTGCTTTGTCAGAGGGTAGGAACAAATGCCTGCGCATTCAAAGGCATCATAACCAGTCGGGGCCACGATCCAACTGTCCCATCCGATGTCCTTGAACTCCACATACAGAGACTGCTTCTTGCAGTGGTTGCCCTTGACATTGCGACGAATGCGGGATGCTGTGTCATAGATCAAGTTAGAGCGCATCTGGATAAGATCTTCTTCGTCTGGGTCTCCCTCAACTCCATCCTCTCCCAGCTCCCCCCACAGTCCATCCATGCCTGTCTCCATGCCATTTTTCAGAACAGCGTTTGAAGTTTCATGGTCGATCATCTCATTCAGCTCTCTCCTGTCGTCACGGTGATCACTGCTCCGATCATCAGAGAAAACAATCAGCAGGGGTTTGTGCTTTTCCTTGGGGCTGTTTTCGATCCTCATGTCTCCTTCAGGTGAACTCATGCCATTGCTGTTGTTCTTCGTGCCTTGAACATTCTCATCGTCACCAATGCTGGAGATGTGCACCTCCAAGCGGCGTGTGGTGCCACCATCAGATCTGTGCCAACGCTGAACGGCGGCAGTGAGGTCAAAAGCCTCCCAGCCATTATCGATCCCGTAAACTTGACGAGAGGATAATTCCACCAGCTCAGTTTGCTCCTCTGTCTCTCTGAACATGTCGCCTCTCACTTCCTTCACATCGGTCGAGTTGTCCAACCAGTCGTGTGGTTCCAGTTCATAGATGGTGACCTTGCGGTCGACACCAGCATAGAGATGGCGGTCAGTTTGCACCAAAGTGTAGAGGCGAAGCTCAGCGGCAGTGATGTGTTCATGATGGGGAATCGACACATTGAAGAGGAGTGGATGACGTCTCACTCCTCCACCACCTACAAAACTGGGATTTGTGTCTAAACAGAGAAAAACAAAAGTTAGATTTTTTTTCAACGCAAAGCTAATTTTATTTACGTATGAAAATGTTATTTCTAAATCCAAACAGCAACATTTTCACGGAAAGCAAAAAACTGAAACAGCTTTGCAAAGAATAGCTCAGAGGAAAAAGGATCATTGTTAGACCAGTCTTAGAACTGTACATTTTTTAATCATTGATTAAAATGTTAATAAATATTATTACTATTGTTATTATTAGAACATATAGGCTATTTAGACAATACAGCACTTCCTAGATTATGGTTATTTGTATATTAAATAAAGCCATCTTGAAAGTTGTACCTTCATTTTTGAAGCTGCGTATGATATTGGCAGTGGGCATGGCAGTCTGGTCATTAGCAAAGCGGTTATAAAGCTCCATCATGTATTCAGGAGGCTCCTCTCTCATACTTCCAGCAGGCAGAGGCGGAGGACCCAAACCAGATAGATTAAAAGTTCGTAGAAACTGCTCCTTCAGGCTTTCCAGCAGATTTTGCATCTTGCTGTTGTCGTCCTGCTCCAGCAGCGATGGATCCACCACTCCTCCATGTCCGTCCCCGAGTCCTGGAGCGGGACGTTGCCTCCGATGAGTGTTGGAGATGGGGCTACTCTCTCCGCTGAGAGGCCCCCAGAGCAGCACGATGGAAAGCAGCAAGAAGAAAATCTTGGAGGTGCAAATGGTTCCCAGTTTAGAGACCCAAATGCTCGCCATGAGAGAAGTAATCTGCAGCTCTCTAGTTTCGACCCTCTAGGGCGGCCTATGGATGAGCTCATGCAACGAGGAAATAAAATGATTTGGTTCTCTCACTGTGTAAATGGTTCAATGAAGTTCTGGTGAGTTCATCTACAGCTTGAGACACTTCTGGTTCCTTAGCCGAAGCTGGATCGGTGTTGACCCATGCACTGACACGAGCCCCTCTGCAGGCGTGTTTGCTCCTGGCGCTCTCCTCCAGATCCCACAGCATTTATTCTCATGCACACTTTTTGAAGTCCCTTTCAATAGGACCGTGGTTCCGGCGACAGGGTGGCCGAGGCTTGTCTTTGTTTGTCCGATTCATCTCTGTTGTGTCCTCTCCCCTGTCAGTCTGTCTCTGTGCACTGCTCTCTCTTTCCCCAGCTCAGTGTTTCAGTCCCTTATCTATAATATGGAGGGCTCTGCATTGCACTGTGCTTGTGGTCTCTTTGTGGGGTGTGTGTGTGTACGTGCCTTGCCTTTAACTGTGTGTGATGCCCTGGTGGGTGCGTTATCTCACAACTTCCTTAATGAGGATTTTATAAACACTGTCCTGTAGCCTCTTCCTTGTGGATTGGCGATTTTGTTGTTGGTGGGTGTTCCAGGGTTGATTCTCTTCACTTGTTTATTTGCTTTGGAAATGGTGGAGTTTTGCAAACAGTTTTTTCATTGAGCATTTCTTTTTGACAAAATACAATGTGGGCCTGTTGATGTTGATGAAAACGGCAGGATACGCCCATCAGACAAAATTGTTCCCAACAAAATCAAAACGCAACAAGGTGTAGGATCACAACGGTGGAAAACAAACGGAGTTTAGTTTGAGTCTAGTTGATCCCAAGAAATATAAAATGTAAAAAGATTCAGCAATCAAGATCTTTGTTCTCTTTTTGGATGTCCTTTCTGAGTTATTACAATATAATAATAATCATCTTTGTAAAGAAGGAAAATAAGGTAAAACACAAAACACGTGGTTTCAACAAGAGCCAGGCAAGGCTTTCTGGAAACATTCCTCTTGATTAGGACGACAGCAACAAGTCAAAGGTGAAGTTTGCAGAGACCTCGTGACAGAGGAAATGTCCACCATTCAACTATGTCAGACATCCAACAAATGTGTGACCAGTGCCACTCTAATGGTGACACGGGCCGTCCCAGCCAACAGCTCTGTGAAGCCTTGATTGTGTCGTCTCCTCAACAGGCCCGAATACTTGCTCAGTTCGTCACCTGCACCCCCTTCCCACCATGCAACTGTCCTTCATTCCTGAGCTTCTTCTCGTGACCCCCAGATACACTCCTGATTTCAGTGCGTCACTGAGATGGGAAAGAATGAGCTTTTCCTGCCTCTGCCACTCATCTGCCACACTGACAGTTGACAGACGTGCCGTTATCTGGTGCTTTGTAGGACTGCTGCTGCAACAGACTACCACATCTTCCTGATGGGCTCGAGGCTTGATAGTGGCAGAGTCCTTTTGCACACACACACAAACACACACACACACACACACACAACTAGGTCCCTCCATGTGGTCTTCATTAAAGGCCTCTCAGGGTGTAACAAATGTGGATTTGTGGAGGCGATGGATACTAAACCTGGGTTAAACTTTCTAACACACAATATTTTGTGCTGATATCAGGTTTCCCAGTTTTATTATGCCCATCAGTCTGCCCAGTGGGATGAAACACAACTGAAACCAGCCCAATTCTGGCTAATAACACTATCATTAATGCTTTTATACTGAACATTATACTGATTGCTACATACCAGAATGTAGCAATCACTAATGTTTGCAGTTTGTAAAGCAAGTTTATTTCTATTGGCAATGGATCAACAAAAGCAAAGTCTCTGTTTAAACATTAAATGAGGCTTAAAGGAAATATTCACTTATTCTGCTGCCAAAACCTTCTTCATCCTTCTATCTATTTACCCTCTTCTTCCTTTTTGGGTCGTGTGTGTGTGTGTGTGTGTGTGTGGGGGGGGGGGGGTGTCACTGGTGCCTATGTCCAGCTATCTGTCCAGCTATCACTGTGTGAGAGACAGGGACACCCTGGACAGGTCTCCAGTCCATCACAGTGACACATAGAGACAAACGAGACAAACAACCATTCACTCTCTCACTCACACCTAGAGACAATTTAGAGTTACCAATCAGTCTAACATGCATGTTTTTGGTCTGTGGGAGGAAACCGGAGTATCCAAAGAAAACCCACGCATGCACGGAGAGAACATGCAAACTCCACCCAGAAAAGTTCCTGGCCAGGATTCGATCCGGTAACCTCCATGCTAAGAGGCATCAGCTCTACCAACTGAGCCACTGTGACTTTCTTCATGTTTGTCAGTAATTTTATTTCTCTTGTTTATGTTTTTATGAATCCATCCATTACTCTGCTCACCAGTGGTGGGATGTAACTAAGTACAAATACTTCGTTACTGTACTTAAATACATTTTTTGTGTATCTGTACTTTACTTAAGTAGAGTTAAATGTGGGTACTTTATACTTTTACTTCACTACATTTTCACATTATTTGAATGGCATCGGTATCAAAACGTAGATGTTTTTGTCTTTTCAACCAGTGTGTCTCTCTGCTGTGGGACTGGGAGTGTCCTCTCAGCTCCACAATGTGCAGAATGTGCAAACACAAACTCTCGTTAACTTCTATTGTGCGTGAGCTTAAAATTTGCACTTCAGAACTGAATGATCTTTTTAAGGTATCATGCTTTATGATAAAACAAACACGTGTGAAGACAAGACACTTCAGCCTCGTAGCATTCACAGATTTCATTCAGCTCAACTTTAAGCTTGTTGCAGAATGCCTGTTTGAGGCTTATATTTTGCTCTTCCTTGATGTCTTCCTGTCATTTTAAGGATGCTGACAGGAAGTGTGTTGTTACCATGGTTACCATGGTGACCCCAGCTGCAATGGCATTTTTTCTTCTTTTTTTTTTTTGCATCTTCTGACATTTCATCTATTTTTTTGTACTTTATTTTCATTTTTATTTGTACCCAATTTGTAAAAAATAAATGAATAATAACATATTAATAATATTAATAATAATAATAATAATAAACCCCTCGACTGTGTTGTAGCATGCCTTGGGACAGATGAAGGATGGCATAATAATATCTTGCACATGAAAAAACACTCGACATGATTAAAGTTTATTGAAATTAGATACCTAATGATGACACTCGTGCGCATGTGCACACCTTCCATCAGTTTCAGACAGTTCAGTTCGTCTGGCCATGTGCATCTATGTAAATAATTTAATTATTCCAGGTGTGGCTCTTCCTTCCCTGTACGCTCTGTTTAACAGATAAGTTCTTGTGGCTGTAGGAGAAACACTTGTTTAAAGTGTCTAACTGAACGGTGACGTTAACACAGGCTTGTCTAACAGGCCACAAGAAATGAGCCTGACACTTTTCTTCAGGGTCAAACAGAATCAATTAGTGCAACCTGGTGATGAAAGATGGCCGCAGGTCAAGCAGCTCCTCCTAAATTAGCCCAGAAAGTCAGAAAAAGATCACTGGGTTGAAGCTCATTTATTGCTCTCTGACTAAGTAAAGCTGAATGTCTCTTTGCAGCTCCTCGTTGCGTCTCTGGGTCTCTTGTTGGCTGCGCTCTGTATTCTTTAAGCAGATCTCCAGAGCGGCCACGCGGCGCTGCTCTGCCTGCAGAGCGTCCTGCAGCTCTGCCACAGTGGCCTTCAGCTCCTTGTTCTGCTGCTGCAAACTGCCAGAGGACAGAAAAACAGTAAACACACACACACAAAACCAAAGTTTGCTTTACAACAACAACAACAACAACAAAAACGATTCTGTTCAGACACTCTGCTGTCGTCGTCATCGCCGCTGCTGAGCTGGACTCACGTGTTTAGAAGCTGCTGCTGGTCTTCCTTCGGCTCTGGCCTGCTGTTGGCCTGCTGCACCGAGCTGCTCACCGTCAAGGTGTCCGCACTCCTCTGATGAGCGAGTACTTGCACTGGCTGGGAGTTACTTTCTGCTTTCTGGAAACCAACAGCTGTGGATGTGTTGTCACTCCCCCTTCGAGCTGTAAGTCTGTCCACCTTGTCCTTGCTGCTCATCTGAGATCCCCCCAAAAATGACCCCGAAGTCCGCAGGTCCAGGATTTTAAAAATGTCTTCTGAAAACGTCCCAGTTTTCTCCTCTATAGTCTCCTGTTTGCAGCTCCACCTGTTGAGGGCTTCTGCCTTTGCTGCCATCCCGGTGAGGGGGCAGTTGAAGGTGGGGAGGGTCTGGGTTCGTTTGCGGGGACTTGCGAGCAAGTCGTCTACGTCGGGGGACAGAGGCTCATGCAGAAGTGTCCGGGGCTGGACGTCACTTCTTAGTGGACCTGGACTGTCAATGTCCTTTTCTTCCTCTTCTGGAGACTCGGACAGAGATGCTCCCCACATCTGAGTGAAACACAAAGAGTTTGAACAGCACAGAAGGAACAAATTGATTATTTGGAAACTTCTGACCTTATCGTGTCGGTTAGTCATGTTTTAATTTGAAAAGCAATTACACAGGATTCTGAGGACTGCTGCCCTGTGCCTGATGCACCTCACCTCTCAACCTGTGTGTCATTGTCTTACCACCCTGAGCAGTGTGGAGGGTGAAATGTGACAAAAGTAAATAAATAAATACATCATGAAATAAATAAATGTAAGCGTTCAATTAAATAAATAAATGTGCCATGAAATAAATTATGGAGGTTGGACTTTGACAAAATTAAATAAATAAATAAATGTAAATATCCAATGAAATAAATAAAGTATGGAGAGTGGACTGTGACCGAATTAAATAAATAAATAAATCATGAAATAAATACATGTAAGTGTTCAATTAAATAAATAAATAAATGTGCCATAAAATAAATTATGGAGGGTGGAATGTCCATCCATCCATCCATTATCTTTACCCGTTTATTCCATTTTGGGTCACAGGGGTCGCTGGTGCCCATGTCCAGCAATCACTGTGCGAGGGGCGGGGTCCACCCTGGACAGGTTGCAAGTCCATCACAGGGACACATAGAGACAAACGAGACAAACAACCATTCACTCTCTCACTCACACCTAGGGACAATTTAGAGTTACCAATCAGTCTAGCATGCATGTTTTTGGTCTGTGGGAGGAAACTGGAGTACCCGGAGAAAACCCACGCATGCACGGAGAGAACATGCAAACTCCACCCAGAAAGGCCCCTGGACCGGGGTTTGAACCAGGGACCTGCTCGCTGAGAGGCAACAGCTCTACCAGTTGCGCCACCGTGCTGCCCAATAAATGTATATGTCCAATTAAATAAATAAATGTGCCATGAAATACATTCTGGAGGGTGGACTGTGACTAAATTAAATAAATAAATAAATAAATGTAAATGTCCAAATAAATAAATAAATTATGGAGCGTGGACTGTGACCAAATTAAATAAATAAATAAATAAATCATGAAATAAATGCATGTAAGTGTTCAATTAAATAAATAAATGTGCCATAAAATAAATTATGGAGGGTGGAATGTGACAAAATTAAATAAATAAATAAATCCTGAAATAAATAAATGTAAATGTCCAATTAAATAAATAAATGTACTTGAGATAAATTATGGAGGGAGGAATGTGACAAAATTAAATACGTAAATAAATACACCATGAAATAAATAAATGTAAATGTTCAATTAAATAAAGAAAAGTACCAAAAAATAAATAAATGTACAATGAAATAAATAAATGTACCAACAAATATCCCCTTAAATAAGTCAATGTATTATTGAATTATTTAATATATAATTAAATTATTAAATATACAATTAAATAATTGAATACACTCACGGTGCATTTATTTATTTAGTTGGACATTTACATGTATTTATTTCAGGATGTGTTTATTTGTTTCATTTTGCCACATTCCACCCTCCAATAGCACTGGGAGAATAGTTAGTTACAAAGTGTGGAGCAGTCAGTAACAAAACCCATGAGTGAATAAAAGACTGGACCTTAAAGCAAAAGGAAAAAAAAACAGAAAGCAAAGCTAAGATACAAAACATATCCAAATAAAAACTTTAAAAACTAGTATTTGTTATATTGACAAGTTATTTAAAAGCATATTTATAAGTTTGCATAAAATCAGCTGCTGATTAAGTCGGCTCAGCATGTAGACACACACTTGATTCTGTGTCAGCAACAAAAATATTAGCATGATGTCACTGCTGCAGGTCATTAATTAAACCTAAAGTCTGAACAAGGCCGTACTTTATTACTTTCAGTCAACATGTTCTGGACGAAGCAAACAATACTGGCCAGTTTTTATTAATCATATTGCTCCTCTATAGCTTTTGTTTATTCAGACATATTTTTCTTGAACAGTAAATAATGCATTTTTTTATATAAAACTAAATTTCTACGCCCATTCTGACTAAAGCAAGCAGTACGTTGATGTCTTCCATCGCTGAGGGATGTCAAAGTAAATGTTTGTAGTTTTCCAGATGAGTGTTTTTCTGGAACAGAGAAAGTAAACCTTAAAGTTCAAGTTCAAATTCAAGTGGGTATGAGTTATACTGTGTAAAAGAATAAAAGTACATTTTAATTTATTTATTTATCTGTTTATTTATTTTGCTTGATGAATCCTGACGAGCAGAGAGAGCAATTTTATCCTCCACAAGGCGCAATGGCGAAGCCAAGAGGTAACCAGTGGTGGCCTTGGTCACCATAGATTACTCTTCTTCCACCCCAGTGATTTGAGGAAGCTATACTTTTAAGCAATATAAAAATTAAAAGCATAGTTCCCTCAAATAATCGAGGTGGCCGGTTAACAAATGTAAATGGTGGTGGCCATCTTGGACTTTGACCTGGCAACCAATTTTCAAAAGGGATCTTATTTCCGTCTTGGCGTAGCCACACACCAAGATAGAAGATATATATACATATAAAATGGACTGTACTTATATACAGTAGCACCTTTCTATCGTGTTAAGACACTCAAAGCTCTTTACAACACAATCTGTGTCCTCATTTACTCATTCATACAGCACTCTACTAGATCTATACAAAGCTAATTGAACCAATCATTCTAAAGAGACTAATCAGTGTTTTTCACATTCAAACACCGGTGGGACACACATCGGAGGCAATGAGGGGTTCTGTGTCTTGCCCAGGGACACTTCAGCATGTGACTGCTGGTGGATTTGAACCCCCAACTCTTGCATTGGAGGACGACTGCTCTAACCACTCAGCCACAGCTGCCTGCTGTTATCACACTAACTTTTCAAGTTATCATGCCCTCAACAGGCACGGATGGACTGTGGGTATTTCCAATTCCCCGTCTTCGCTCTGCGACAGGGGACAATGAATTCAGTTTTTTTTCCCCAGAATGATTTGTTTTTTACTTCTCTGGTGACTGGTTGTATTTCTGAACCATTCTGTGCAGCTTTCCAGCAGCATTAAAACACTATTACTGCCTGTCCCGTATTTTCTGGCCTATAAGTCGCACCTTTTTGCATAATTTCCATGCTCTGCAACTTATACGCCGAAGCGACGTATTTGTGGATTTTTGTCATATTTATAAACCAGTTTTTGACTGAGAGAGGACCGTTTTCATTCATTCTGACTGAAAATACTGAACACTACCATTTTCAGCCGTTAGATGGTACTCAAGTAGTATGGCATGCCGTTGTATCATGTAATAGGTAAAAGTGTCTATTAATGAGACAATTGGCTTGCCATACTGCCACCTTCATCCAGCTGGAGCAACTGTCAAATCAGCTTCATTTTGCTGCACCGCCCCGGCAAAAATGCAGCTGATTTGACCATTGAAGTGTATTTATTAAGTAAAAATTCAACTGAGACGCACCTTTACTATAAAGTCGAGCAAACAACTAATAGTTTTAGGTGATAATCTTGTTAAGTTTCGAAGAAATGTGCAGCGTTCCTACTTCCTAATTTCCTCTCTTTGCACGCTCCTGGAGCACCGAGGCAGCGAGTACTTTTGAAATGCAGCTGTTATATGGCTGCGTTTTACACTAAGTTAATTCATCTTCAAACTCTTTATCTTTAAAGACATGTCTGAGACAAACTTCATCATTCTTGTTGATTTTTGGCAGCTTTGTTGTAAATAAGACTCTAAATGGGCTCTAGTTCCACGTTAGAATGACAGCAGAATAATAGAAACACATGTTGGCTGTTTGTCCTAAACTGAGCGGACAGCTGCTGTACAGACGCCAAAATAAAATTGATCTTGTTCGCTAATATGCAGCAACAAATACTTCCTAAAATGTGACGCTGTTCTGGTTGGAGACACTTAAAATGACCGACTTTCTTTGCAAATTGACACCACAGTTTGACTTTTTGCTATCTTCTTCTTGAGAATGTGTCAACTGTGCTCAACATTTATGTTCTACAAGGTTTTTCTCAGCTGCTTCTAACAGAAGACATGTCCAGTCTGGGTCTGTCGTTACCTCTGCGGACTCCCAGCCCACGAAGCTCCGAGGAGCATTTTTCTGGCTCTCCGTCTTGTTTGAAGGAGAGGAGGGAAGCACGTCTTTGGAGAGAGGAAACAGAGTCTCATGCTGTCTGATCATCACCGTCATCAGCTTCTGGATCTGAGGCGTCGCTGTGAAGAAAAACAAACACGAGAAGATAATCCTCAAAACCCCTTAGCTTTTTTAGTCTCTTTCCCTTTTCTTAGGATTTTAAATATAGAGATCCGACTGGTAGATTTTATTACACTCAAAACCTTCTTTAAAAGGTCTTCAGTTGATCCAAAATGCTGCTGCCAGAGTCTTAACTGGAGTTAGGGTTGGCTTGTTATGCAGCTATATACTTAGACTACTAGAGGACAAACTGACCTCATTTCCTTAAATGAATTGTTAAAATAGAATAGTTTTCATTTGATATTATTTCTACCTTAACATGTGATTCTTGACCTGCCATTGTGTATCTGTTCCTGTCAAACCCAGCCGGTCGAAGCAGATGGACGCTTGTCCTGAGCCTGGTTCTGTTAAAGGTTTCTTCTTCATGAGGGAGTTTTTCCTTTCCACTGTCGCCTTCATGCTTGCTCAAGATGAGAGTTCTGTGATGGAGTTAAACTCAAAGCAGTCTGCTCCTCAGATAAATAATGTTAAATAATTTTTCTACCTGGATTATTGAGAATGTATCAGGATATAATGTTAAATGATTATTTTTATATTTGAATGTTTCTGTTCAGTGCCCTGAGATGACTTCTGTTGTGTCTTGGCGCTATATAAATAAACTGAATTGAATTGAAAGATGTACCTGTATTTGGTTTTTATGGCTTTTATTGCTTCTTTCTTATTACAAGTTTCATCAGTAATGTTCAGCTCTTACAATAAAATGGAAAAGGCTGAGTTTTACGCTGTTTGTCCATGTGTTTGTATTTAAGAACACATTGCAGGTGAGTAGAAGATGTTCTCACCCTTCATCACAGTGATGGGGTCCTCTATCTGAGGCTTGAGCAGGTTGATCCCCATCACGGTCGCCAGGTTCTCCACATTCATCTTATTGACCTTTGAGTGACTCTGCACCTCGAACAGGAACCTGACGACAACAGGACAGATTAGCAGAGCTGATCTCACTGCAGTTTGAACTCGTGGTATGCAAAAGGTTCAGCGGCTCTCTCCAGGGGAAACTCATGATTGAAACTTTGGGCTTTACTCACCGACAAACATGACTGAGAAGGCTGTAGTTAACTCTGGGGAGAAGACTGATTTGTTTCTCCAGCTTGCCCCAGCCCTGTGCAGACACAAGAACAGGAGGTCAACGTGTGAAGGCAGCCGTGTCCTGTAGACCCTGGTCAGTCTGAGCAAACCTCTGAGCTGCTGGGGTCCAGCAGGTTGGTGCAGTCCAGGAAGTCCTGGTACTGGGACCAGGGCACCACAGGTTCTGGCAGCTCCCGCAGGTACAGTTTGAGCAGCGACGCCACCGTGTGGACATCTGTGTCACTGTGAACACATAAACCACTCCATCAGTGAGCTGGAACAAAACTGGACTCTGTTTCTGCCACAGGAACGAGCCAGACTGTTTCCAGTCTGACATTGTTAGGATTGTTCAAACATTTTGTGCTTGACTGGGGTTAAAAAGCTTTGCACCATTTTTCCCATGGTTTTAGGACTGTGTTAATTAATTTATTTATTTATTATAAAAATGACTTTTACTAAAGCATCCTCCTCCAGGGCTCAGTTTAAACAATTTAAACAATTTCAAGTATTTATTTATTTATTTTTACATAATTTGGGCTTCCAGCTCATGAAACCCACAAAAACAGGAATTCAAAAAATTTGAATACTGTGAAGACATCAACCCACACTACTCAGTTTTTGCAGAAAAAATAAATTAGAATCACAACAAATCAATCAAAATATGGTTCTTTCAAAGCGATATGTCAATCTTCAATACTTGGTTGGGAATCCCTTTGCGTTAATCTCTGCCTCGATGTGACGTGGCATTGAGGCAATCAGCCTGTGGCATTGACTGGGAGTTATGGAAGCCCAGATTTCCTTGATGCTGTCAGCTCTTCTTTGTTGTTGGGTCTGGTGCCCCTCATGTTCTTCTTGAGAATACCTCATAGATTCTCAATGGGGTTTAGGACCGGCGAGTTGTCTGGCCAGTCAAGCACTGTGACATGGGCATCAAACCAGGTTTTGGTGCTTCTGGCGGCATGGGCAGGGGCCAGGTCCTGCTGGAAGATGAAATCTGCATCTCCATACAGATCGTCAGCAGAAGGAATCATGAAGTCCTCTAAAACATTCTGGTAGACTGTTGCAGTGACCTTGGATTTAAGAAAGCAGAGTTTACCAACACCTGCACTGGACATTGCACACCAAATCATGACTGACTTTTGATATTTCACACTGGACCTCAAGCAGTATGGGCTCTGTACCTCACCCTTCTTCCTCCAAACGCTTGGACCTTGATTTCCAAATTAAAGCCACACTTTACTTCATCAGAAAAGAGGACCGAGGAAACCGACATATGTAGTCCATCTCCCGGATTTATCTGAATGTGGTGGTTTTTGAAGCTGTGACTCTCGCCTCATTCCACTCTTTCTGGATCTCTGCCAGATTCTGGAATCTTCTCTGTTTGATAATCCTCTGAAGCCCACGGTCGTCTCTTTTGCTGGTGCATCTTCTCCTGCCACATTTTGCCTTTCCATTGATATGTTTGGACACAGCACTCTGTGAACAGTCAGCCTCCTTAGCTATGAACTTTTGTGGCTTACCCATCCTATGGAGGGTATCAATGATGGTCTTCTGGCCAGTTGTTATGTCTGCAGTCTTCCCCATATTGAACCGAACTGAGACAATTGAACCAAAATCAATTTAATGACCCCTGGGGAAACCTGTGCAGGTGCTTTGAGTTTAGTAGATAATTAGTGTGTCACACTCAGTTTAAAACATTCATGCCCTGCAACATTTGGGCTGATTTCTCCACAGTATTCTAATTTTTTGAAATCCTGTTTTTGTGGATTTCATGAGCTGGAAGCCCAAATTATGTAAAAATAAACAAATAAATATGTGAAATTATTTAAATTGTGGGCTCTGAATCTATCATCTATTAAAGATTAACTTTTTGAATGGAATTATGGAAGTTAAACAACTTTTCCATGATATTCTATTTTTTGTAAAGGGACTATATATGTATATACAGTATATATACATATTTTCATTCAATCTTTATTTAGACAGGTTAATCCCATTGAGCCTTGGGGACTAATTTACAAGAGAGACATGATTTCTTAATAAAGATTGATGACAGCAATTGATAACAACGACAGTAATAGACAATCATAAAAAGGCATACAAATTTAAGTTCTCTTTTTTTATGTGTATATATATATATATATATATATATATATATAAAAGCATTATAGCTATAACACTATTAATGCTGACTTAGCGTTCACATTATTGCCTTCCTTTTATATCCTGATGCATGCTCAAACCGTCCATCATTAAACAGGGGTGGAGGCCTCCGGGTTCACCTGTCCCCCTCTTACAATGCTGTGATTGCTAGTATCACTCAGCCCTCTGTGAGTAGTAAACAGCCATCAGTGTGCTAATGATCCATTGTTAGGCTGATGGTCCTTCTTGAGCATGTGATCAGCTGGTTTTGGTTGTCAGCAGCAAAACTGGTTGATCCACTCTGAGAAGGTGCTATTTAAGAGACTGAGCTGAAAACAGCACCTCAGACTGAAGAAGTCTCTCGGACGAGAGACGAAACGTTTCTACATTTTTTGTTGTTTTGCTTTGTTTTGGGTTTTTTTGAATGTCCAGAGGACCAGATTTAACTTTTTTAGACCTTCCTTTTATAGTTTCTTCTAACTTTTCAACGACTTCTTTGTGCAAATTTTATCCATTTCTATAGCAAAACATTCAGCTCATTCTATGATTTTTGTAACTTTTTTTAATTTAAAAATATTAAATTACAAAATATTTTCACCACAAAAAAGCATTGAAATCTCTTCAGTTGCTTCCAAACATTGTTCGCTTTCGAATTTGCATCGGCGTGATTGTTGTTTTTTTGTGGTTTCTTTAGATTTTAGCTAATGTTCAGCTATTAGCTTTTATCTTCAACTATGATAAGGTTAGTTTGAAGCAATGGTTTTGCTGGTTTTAGTTTTAATCAACAGTGTTGCCAACATTAGGTTATAAGCTACCTTTTGTTGATTTGAGCTTTTAGATGCAGGGATTTAGCTTGTTTTAGCCTTTAGGTCATTTAAGTTTTTCACACTTCTGACCTGTGTAGCTAGTGTTCTCAAATTAAACTTTTGCTCTGCTTCTTTTGACTTTACCAGCTTAGTTTCAGCCTCTTCAACAGATTTCAGCCGTCGTTCATCTCTCAGCATTCACTTTAACAGAAAACGATTGTTTGTCCAGTGCAACTTTAAATCAACGAAAAAACACAACTGAATAGTTGTTCTATTTTGTACAGGCTTCGCCCTTTAAGGCTTCTCGCTATTGGGTTTATCCCTAAGGTGCTCAGTGCGGCACTGAAAACTTTAGTCCACACCCACCTGCTGTGTGGGCCTCACCCCCGGTCCGTATGAATTACGGAAAGACTGGGAATCGTCTCCCATTTTTTCTTCAGCCAGCTAGCTAGCACTGTCACAAGAACGAAGAAGGAAAAGTTGTCCAGCTTTGACCGGCACAACCTTTGCTAAGGATGCCTGGGTCTCCGCCACGCCAACCTCCTGCTGTCCCGGTGAGCTCTTCCTCCCCAAGGAGAAGCAGACGAACGAGGCTGCAGCTGGGCTGGCAAGCTGAAGATAGCCGTCTCCACCTTCGCCTCCATCTTCAGAGTGGAGGGTTTTACCGATCGGTGTTTTACCCTAGCCCCCCACCACCATCACCACCACCACCACCCCCGGAGCCAAGCCTGGCGGGTGGCACTTGGGGAAAATGCTTCCAGGATGGACCAGCAACCTGTCCCTCCAGGGAAGCATGACCAGATGGTGACAAGGTCTCCAACCGAGCTCACCAATGATCATCCCAGATGGCCACAGCGAACAACAACGTCGCCCTGCTGGCCTACAGCATCTCGAAGAGGCTGGAGGAAGCAGACCTGCTGGAGGAGACAAAGAGCTCTCTCTGTAAAGCTGCTGATATCATCTTAAACATGTGCCACCTCTGCGATTTGCCTGTCCCGCATCGCTGCCTGGATGACCATGATCCAGAGGACCACTTGGCTCCGCCTCTCGCCATCCATGTCCGAGAGGCTGTAGAAAGACCTACTGGAGGGCCCCATCACCCCAGAGGCGCTGTTCGGAGCCAACTTCAGGACCATCCTTGAGGAATCGCAGAGGTCCAAGGAGGTCTCATGGACTGTACGCCGTCTGGTGACGTCACAGTCCATCTGCCCCTCTGGCCGCTGGAGGGACCACCTTGGAAAGCAACAGCACCAGAGGTGTTCCACAGCTGCGGCAGTGACTTCACGCCCCGCTCCTCCGCCGGCCCCCTCCACCAGGTAACAGATCCTTGAGGGGAAGGTATGTGTTTTTTGATTATGTATGTTTTGATATAAAAAGTATAAAAAGTTTTTTTTCATCTGAGTCTGTCAGATCAGCTGATCTCTCAGCTGCCTCTCTTCACACATTCCCCACACAGAACGAGCCAGTAACCTCTAAACAGTGTTTTAAAAGGCACCGCAGTTCAGTAAATATCACAACACTCGTCTGCCACATCAGCTAAAATGATGTTTTTTCAGCAGACCGAGTCTGATAAAATCCCTCGTCTCTCAGCCAGAGCCCATTTTTAATTTCTGCTGTTTTCTGCCCAATCACAACGCAGCGGGAGTAAACATGTTTCTCCACGACAGCTGCAGCCTCTACCAAAATGGCGTCTCACTCAGAAAGCGTTCACGCCTCCTTCGGTGCACGCCGACTCACCTCAGCTCTATGTGAGACCGCAGCCTGGGCCCAGCACAGAGGCACACATACAGCCTTTTTTCTGTCGGAGCCCCCATTGGGTTCCCCTGGAGAATCTCCGGAGCGAGTGATGGCAGTAAGGATTTTTTAGTATGGTTGACCTTTGTAGATGAACAGATGCTCAGATATATTCATCAATTAACGCGGATTCCTCATTTTTCTGAACTGAATAAAACGTGCATTGAATTTAATGAAATGCAAACGTGAGACGTCATTTATGTTTGACCCATCAAAATGAATGCGGTCATTTATTTACAGAATCAAAGTTTAACATCAAACATTTACATTAATTTGGCAAATTATGAAAATAACAACTTAAGCAATCAATCAGGAAAAATCATACGGCCATGATTTTTCCGTTGCTTCACCACAGACATTTATGAAACTGTACAATTATGATCTATTACCCACACGGATGTGGATGAGCATTTTACACAGACATTTCTAAATATCTGGAAGTATATCTACTTGATAGAAAGTTTAAAGATGGGAAAGAAGTTTAGAGGGAGTAAAGATGGTATGGGAGGGGAAGTGTTCACCAGAATTGACACTCTCCGTCAGAACCCAGCTCTCCCCGGTACGCTTGGTAGGAAACTTGACTCGTTACCTTTCTGAAGTTAATCAGCAGATATGGAGCTCCGTTAACGCTACCTGTCCAGCGTCTCCTTAGGATGCTGTGAATCGTCAGAAGTAGTGACGAGTGAAAATGTTATAATCCCATGGAACTCGGAAGAGCTCTGTTGTCATGTCAGGATCATCCCGTCTCTCACAGAACTGGTTGAGCTCTGTATCCAGCAGAACTCCAACAGCACTCCATCAGAACTGTCCCAGAACTGAGTAGTTTACAGATCTCAGTAGACCAGGAAGTACCGACATTTTAAAGAGCTGTTTTTCCGGTCCATCTGGGAGTATTCCCATTGGCCAGAACCGACCAGACGGGGTGTGTTTTGTGACGTAAAAGGTTAGAATGCAGCAAGAATTGTTATGGAAAGATCAGAAATGTTCTCACAGACAGAGAGAGTTTTGTTTTGGCGCGTTTCAGAAACAGGTGCAAAAACCTCTATATTTATGTCTGAGAGGATTCTAAAAACATGACAGTTCGTTCCAACAACTTGTTTTGCGTTTGACTAAAACCTTGGACCAACTTACACTTGCTCATTCAAAGGCAGAAATCAGAAAATGCATAAAAATCTGTAACAGACCTCAACATGAATTCTAACTTTGCATGAGAAAAAATCATTACACAGTTAATAAAATTGATTAGTTCACTGCAACATCTAAAATGGTTTGAACTAAGACACTTTGATTATCAACATTTGTAAAATAGTAATGATAATAAAAAAGAGAGTGTTCTTTCACATGAATCTTCAAGAAAGAAAGTCTCAGGATGGGTGAACCTGCATTTCTGGATTCAAATCAATGAAATGACAGTTCCTGTCCCACAAGGTTCTTAAGGTCAAGATTTTTGACCTTAGACTTAGTTTTTGACATGGGCCTAGTCCACTACACCTTCATGAGAAACATGACACAACACAAATGCGTGCCCACTCTCTGAGCGCTACTCAGAGTGGCAGCGAGTGTGTTCCTTGGATAGATGGACGGACCATCTGATCAGAAGGGGTTACGCGCTGCAGTTCACAGCTCAACCCCCATCGTTTCAGAGGGATTATAGAGACGGTTCTGTCTTCTCCAGAACAGAGCTCCTCTCTCCAGTCAGAAGTTCAGGAATTTCTGACGAAAATGCGTTTTCAAGAGCTCCCAACAGCTGCTGGAGAATTTCACCAGAACGGCTGGTTTTCAACTCCATAGATCTGAAGAGAGCATATTTCACATTTCCATCATTCTGAAACACCCCACGCACGTTCTCGAAATGCGTGGAGATGGCTCTGCAGTCGTTACACATGGCAGAAATGAGAAATCCTTTTATCTGGACGATCGGCTCTTATTAGCTCGGTCCAGTTAGAAAGCTGTTGCACAGACCAAAACACTAGTGTTACACCTGCTAACCTGGGGTTTCTATAAACTGGGAAAAACTTCTGTTTGTCCATCCCAGATGATTGTTTATCTGGAAGCGGAGCTAACTCAACTACAATGAGGGCCATTTATCACAGCTGAGAGCCGAAGCTCTGTCAGCTCAGCTCCGCCGTGTCAAACCCTGCAGCGTAGTGACAGTTCTGTCTGTCATGCAATGCCTGGGACGATGTCAGCGGCCCACATCATGGTTCCGTTGAGCCTACTTCACATGGGATGCCTTCAACGATGGTTTGTTCGCCTGCACATAGATCCTGTGCGCCAGAAGAGGTGGATTATCTTTGTGCCCCCTCCGTGAGAAATTATCTGAATCACTGGGGAAACCCCCTCATTCTGTCAGATGAAGTTGCCATCAGCAGGCCTACGTCACACGTCTCAGTTTTTCACAGACGTGTTCCTGTCAAACTGGGAGGAATGTTTCTGTCCAAAGCAGTGGGATCACAGTGGCTGGACCACATGTCGCTTCACATAAATGTGCTAGAATGTTTTTTCACGGTCTGAAACGTGACTCAGCATTTTGCCCCTGCTGCGGGATCAGCATGTTCTGATCCACACAGACAACAAATGACAGCAGTTTACATAAACTGTCAGGGAGGTGTGCGCTCAGCCCAACAGTTACGCATCGCGAAACAGCTGTTGTGTTGGCCACACAGGAACCTGCTCTCCATCAGAGCAGTGGACATTCCCAGCGTTCCTGAACAGGCGAGCGGATATCATGTCGAGGGGCGGTCCCCGCCACAGACTGGAGCCTCCATCCCGAGCTGTTTTTCTCGGTTTTTGGAGCAGTTTTTGGCCGAGCAGCAGTGGATCTGTCCGCCACAAGGGAGAAGGCCCAGTGTCAATTATGGTTCTCACTGAGCCCACGAGACGACTCACCATTAGGAGTGGACGCCTTCACTCACAGCCTGTGGCCAAAAAAAATGCTCCTTTATGCGTTCCCTCCAGTCCTGCTGATATCACGGACCCTGGACCGGGTCCGGGAGGAAGAACCGTCAGTCATCCTCGTAGCCCCTGAACGTATATGCGCTCCATGGTTCCCGAATCTGCAGCGACTGATATCGGGTCGGCTGTGGAAACCGCTATGGGGGTGCGCTCTCCTCCAGGCAAGAAGAGCGATCAGGAGAAATAGGTCAGCTCTATGGGTCTGTCTGCTGAACAGATCCGTTTAGAAAAGATGGGCCTCCTGCAGCATGTGGTGCGTATGTTCAGGGCGCACAAGCTGCTTCCACCACAATGTTGTACACATCAAGTGGACAGTTTTTCAGTGCTGGTGCATGGAGAAAGGTGTAGAGGCCATCTCATGTCCACTAGGTGGCATGCTGTCCTTTCTGCAGCAGCGGATGGACAGAGATTTAGCTAGAGTTCAGCACAATTAAAACTTGTGCTGCAATTATTTCTCCTTGTCACAAGGTTTTCGGTGACAGAACAGTTCTTAATCACCCGTTGATGAAGCGTTTCCTGAAAGGTGTACGGAGACACAGCCCGGTTTCACGTCCACTACCTCCACAGTGGGACCTAATGATGGTCCTGCATGCTCTGATCAAAGCTCCTTTTGAGCCTTTAGATCATGTTTCACTTAAATTTCTGTCATTAAAAACAGCGCTGCTGTTAGTTCTGACGTTGGCAAAGAGAGTGAGTCTTTGTTTGCTCTCTCTGTTACTCCCTCATGTCTCAGAATTCAAGCTGATGGCAGTTCAGCTGTACTGCGTTTTAACCCTGCTCTGAAATGCATCACAAGCTCATTCAGATTGAGAGTGATAACCTTGGATGGGTTTTTATCCTCTTCCTCATAATTCTGAGAAGGAAGCAACATCTCACCTCCTTCTGTCCTATGCGCGCATTTTTTCATGTTATGTGGTGCACACGGCTGCACTGCGCCGTTTTCAGTGTATGTTCGTGCATTACTGGGACAGCTCTTCAGGACGTCCTCTACCCACCCAGCGCCTCCCACACTGGTTGTGTAAGGTTATTTCTGAAGCTTACAGTTCATCTGGACTGGATCCTCCAGAGAATCTCAGCGCATTCCACCAGAGGGTTTTTCATCCTCCATGGCTCTGCATGGAGGGATGACAGTGGAGAATATTTGTATGGCGGCTGCCTGGTCATCACCATGTTCAATTATTCGTTTTTATCTACGTGATGTTTCTACTTTCTCCATGACCCATTCTGTTCTCAGAGTTCTGTCAGAATGATTATTATTTGTTTCATGGAGCTTCACTTTTGAGCTCACACCTGCCTGCATGCAGTCGCAGTGTGAGATATTTATTATCAGTCACAAGTTCATGACTGCTGATTTTATCGTTATTAATCGGTTCATCCTGTGGAGCTGTTGGTCTGCTCTGTTCATCGTTACACTGTTACAATTTGTGTCCTCTGTAGTTCCTATTCACAGCAGCAGGTCTGCTATCTCAGCCTTTTTTTCCTCACCAGAGATCTTTCTCCGGTGCGCTCCTGCGCATGGAGCACGCAATTACGCAGCGCGTAATTACGCACACAGAAGGCTGAGTGATGAAATGTTTTTTTTGTGGAAGCAGGTGCTTCATGTTGTGTCTGAGTGGAACCAGTGAGGCATAGACTACATCCTGCTTCGCCTTTAACCCACTAGCGAGAAGCCTTAAAGGGCGAAGCCTATACTCATAGAATCTGGGGTTACAGTGCGTAACCAACGTTTTTGTTCAAAAGCATCTTTTGTGATTTTCTTGCATTTGTCTTGTTTTATTTACCTTGACTCTAAGATGTCATGAAACCAGAGGCTGATGTGCCCCGGCAGGGCTCTGTCACTGGAGCTTGTGATGTTGAGTAATAAAGACGTCTTACTGAGCGTTTGCCGGAACAGGATGTGGTATCAGCCTCATCTCTGAGCAGACACAAGTTTATCACGTCTCCTTTTATGGCAGCAGCCTTTATTAGCCTCATGCATTTCTACCCAGGGCATAAAAACTGATTTGTGTTCAGAACCACTGCACACAGCCTGTCCTTTGGCTTCCTGATATTAGAATTACACTTTGCAAGTTGGGTCACGATAAAATCGCAGCGTTTGTTTAAAGACTGAAAGCAAGTTTTGACACATTGAATTTACACAATTTGAACCGTGAGGTGTCACCTGGGGAAGGAGGGCCTCTCTCCTGCATCAAAGGCGTCTCTGAACTGCTTGACAGCGTTTTCCTGACCAGGGAGGCGGAAGATGCCCTCCTCATCCAGCCCGTGCTCTGTGATGAACTCCACGCACTTCTGCACCAGGATCGGCACCATGTGGGGTCCAAAACGCTGCTCGTACGTCACTGTGTCCATGAGGCTCTTTCCAAACACTGCCGGAGAGAAACAGAAACACTTGGAGCAGTTGGTTCAGCTCAGACACATTATTCACATTAAAATGCAAAGTGTGTGTTTGTCTGACTGCCTGTTAGCAAAATATTTCATGAACTTCTATTTGTAGGAGTGCTTTGAGATGACCTTTGATTGGGTCAAACGTTTTAAACTGTTTGGTTAATATTAGGAAAATATTAGACCTTGTCTAAAAGAAAGATTTGCTCGCAGAGTGTATATGTGTGTGTGTGTGTGTGTGTTTCTGACTCCTGAGAGACACAAACACAAAAAAGAGCAAACATTTTAGGTCTTTATGTTTATGTTTGGGGCAGCACGGTGGCGCAACTGGTAGAGCTGCTGCCTCTCAGCGAGCAGGTCCTTGGTTCAAACCTCGGTCCAGAGGCCTTTCTGGGTGGAGTTTGCATGTTCTCTCCGTGCATGCGTGGGTTTTCTCCGGGTGCTCCGGTTTCCTCCCACAGTCAAAAAACATGCATGTTAGGCTGATTGGTAACTCTAAATTGTCCCTTGGTGTGAGTAGAGAGTGAATGGTTGTTTGTCTCGTTTGTCTCTATGTGCCCTGTGATGGACTTGCGACCCGTCCAGGGTGTACCCCGCCCCTCGCACAGTGATTGCTGGACATGGGCACCAGCGACCCCTGTGACCCAAAATGGAATAAGCGGGTAAAGATAATGGATGGATGGATGGATGATTATGTTTGAGGTCTTTAACGTACAGTGTTTATTCGTTTGCATTCATAATAAAATGGGGGAGGTTTTGTGTCTATTTCACATTTTAAATGGACTGTAGACTGTAACAGCTGTGAAACATCTGCAGAAAAAAATTAAAACATCTGATTTGGTACTTTTTCTCTGTAAACAATAAATTTTGTCTTTTGCATTTGTGTTCCTCTCTATAAAGGTGCTGATCCTCCTCAGTCTCACCGAGCCCTGCTTTACACCAGACGAGAATCCCAGTGGGCTCTTGACGACTTACATGACCCACTATGGCATGCATCCCTGGCAAAACCCTCTCTGACCACATGAAGATGCTGCCACGTTACAGACGCTCACCTGTTAGGGTGATGCTACCACCATGGGTTTTATGCCAGATTGTTTCCAAGAGCTTGAAACAGTCAAAGCCATAGTCCAGGTGTGAGGCCAGTCCAGCTTCAAATTCTCAAAGACCAAACCTTGCAGGTGTGTTTGGTAGTGAAGCCAGAGTTACTCTGTCACTGCTGTCACTCCACTCAGGATCCTGAGGAGCTGTCACAACGATTATTAATCACCACACCCAGAGGTGTGGACGCCTCAGTCCTGGAAGCACACATCTAAAGGCCCTGTCCACACTGAATATGAGTGAATATGAATATGCTGTGTGGCTCAGCTGTGTGATGTTTTTCAGCACATTTTTCACCTGAACCCGAGCATGAGAAAAACAACATGCCTGGTCCCGGTGCCAAAAAAAATCACCCAAACTCACACAGTGACCACAGACCTGTGGCCTTGACATCACATGTCATGATGTCATTGAAGAGGCTGGTCCTGAAGCACATCAGATCAGTGGTGGAACCATACCTGGCCTGCTACAGTTTGCAAATTAGCCACGCGTTGGAGTTGATGACACCATCATCTACCTGCTGCACAGAGCCTACACACCTGGACAGGGCAGGAAGCACTGTAAGAGTCATGTTCTTTAACTTTTCCAGTGCTTTTAACACAATCAGACCTGCTCTACTCTGCAGTAGCTCCGGGACATGCAGGTGAATGAGTCGCTGGTCACCTGGATCAGAGACTACCTCACAGGTCGACCACAGCATGTGAGGCTGCAGAACACCACCTGGGACACCATACTGAGCAGCACAAGGGCTCCTCAGGGGACGGTCCTCTCACTGCGTCTGTTCACCCTCTACACCTCGAACTTCAGGTACAACTCTCAATCCTGCATCTGCAGAAGTTCTGGATGACTCTGTCACTGTGGGCTGCATCACTGGTGACCAGGAAGTTGAACACAGAGGTGTGGTGGACAGAACCACCTGCAACTGAATGTTGGAAAAACTAAAGAGCTGCAGGTGGACTACAGAATGAAGACACCCCCCCCCACCCCACCCCCAACATCAAGGGTACTAAGGTGGACATTGTGGACTGCTACAAGTACCTGGGGGTTCACTTAGACAATAAACTGGACTGGACAGTTAACACTGCACACTCTCCTGTACAAAAAAGGGCAGAGTCGATTTTTCTTCTGAGGAGACTCAAGTCCTTTAACATTTGCAGAACCATGCTGCAGATGTTTTACCACTTGGTGGTCTCTGCAGGACCATG